AAGAATTGTTAGGAGATACCCATTTTCCAGAGGGCTAGAAACTTATAAAGAAAAAACATCCACACCTAGAGTAACTTTGCTAGATTTTGTTTGTTTGTTTTGGAAACCTTCTTGAATGATTTATCCTCGCAATCTCATCTTGAAATTAACAGTTTCATTTTTTTAAAATAAAAATAAAAATAGAAAAGTACTTAAAATAATTGTGTTCAACCAATAGTGCACAATTTTGAACCCTCCAAGCTGAGCACAGCCAAATAGGGCAGCTTATTGGGGTCTTGCTGCTGTGACTGCAAAAGTGGAGATGTATGTGTCACCTGGCAGATCCCAATAAATGGCTGGTGGGAAGCATAAATTAAACTGGCAGATATATAGACATGTTAGCTTTTCTCATAACAGCATTGTGACATATGTCCTAATAGGTGAACAGTGAAGCACAAGTCGGAGGTGCCCTTGAAGATGAAGGACTGGTGCAGATCTCTTTAAGACAGGACTAGGAAACCTCCAGCTCATGGCTCAACTCTGGCCCCTCAGGGGTCCCAGTTTGGTCTGCCAGGTTATTCCTGGCAAACCACACTTACCTGTCTGTCCCACCCCTGGTGCCATATGTGAGATTAGGACTCAGGGGCCAGCAAACGTTTTCAGCAGGGGACCGGTTCACTGTCCCTCAGACCTTGTGAGAGGCCGGACTATATTTTGAAAAGAAAAATGAACGAAGTCCTATGCCCCACAGATAACCCAGAGATGCATTTTAAATAAAAGGACACATTCTACTCATGTAAAAACATGCTGATTCCCTGACCGTCCGCGGGCCGGATTTAGAAGGTGATTGGGCTGGATCCGGCCCCCGGGCCTTAGTTTGCCTACCCATGGATTAGGTGTAGGACAGATATGGATGTAGCTTCAAAGGGACCTCAAAGTGAGCTCTTGATTGTTCCTTTGCTGAAGCAAGAGGTGCTCCCGCATCGCAAAAAAGTTTACACTGAAACCCCTGCTAAAATGTATTACTGTAAACTGCCCTGTGTTCTTCGGATGAAGGGCAGTATATGAATCTAATAAATAACAATAAAATATTAAATAATAATTTAAATGTGGTAAGCTGCACTTGGGGACTCCAGGCCGCAGAGCAGGCAGGGTTAGTGAATCAGTGGCCCCTCAAGTGTTACTGGACTCTGACCTCCATCATCCCTGAGCATTGGCATGCTGTCTGATGGGAGTAGAGGGACAACATGGAGCTCTCTTAGAATCATAGAGTTGGAAGGGACCCTGAGAATCATCTAAGTCCAACTCCCTGCAGTGTAGGAATCTTTTGCCCAACGTGGGGCTCGACCCCGTGATCTTGAGACTGAGAGTTGGGACACAGGTCCTCCAGCCCTGTCCTAAGGCAAGCTCAGGTCATATCTGGGCTTTAATTTTTTCCAGCAGAATGGAAGGTTGAACGCTGGTTCAGCTTTGCCTCTGGCCTGCCACAGTTTTGCCTCTAGAGAGGCACAATTGCTGCAGATGAGGATGACAAGCAAGCCTCAGACAGATTTATCTCCGTTCTCCCAGTCTAAAGATGGGTCTCTGTGGTTGTTATAGCCATCATCATATATTATTTCAGAGGTTCGGGCTAGATGGTCTTCATAGTCCCTTCCTACTCTACAATTCTACGGTTCTGTTCTGTTAATGATGCAGTGACTGTGATCCCCTCAGTTTCATCCTATTAAACGCAGAGGAGTGAAATGTGTCTTAGATAATTTCCGCATTAGGTCCTTAATTTTAACCTGAGGGGCAGAATTTTACTTTTAAAAATGCCCCCCCCCCATGGACTTGGTAGGGGCAGAGAGATTCTCCCGGATCAATTTATAATAAAACGCCGATATTCTATTTCTTTTTGAATGGCAGCATTTTAGCACAATGTGAAAAGCGCACTTCATTCACTCCCTTGGCTGTTTATGTATTTATGCCAAATCGGTGGTAGCATCGCGCATAAGGATCTATCATATTAGAGAAGGAGAAAATGACTATTATAATACTTGCTGCTCTCGGTTTCCTCTACAGTAATGCCCTTACACCTTTTCCTTTTTCAGGCTTTCTGTAGCATCCTAAACAGAAAGATATTGAAGGGAGCTGTTGCTGCTTTGATCCTTCTGCTTGTTGTCAAAGCGCTTGGGAATGAAGAGACTGTTGGCTACAATTGACTGTGACAATTAGGAGATGATCAGAGCCCTAGAGTGGAGCACTTAAAGGGTAATTTACATGTCAGTTTGTCGAATAATAAAAAAAAGATATTCAGCTAAGATTCCCCCCCTCCTCTCCCCCACTCAGTGCCTTGTAAACTGCAATTTGTGCTCTGGTAAAGGGGGGAGGAAAAAAAAAACCCTGGCAGAGGAGTTAGGATAGCCATTTCCATTTGAAAAGAGGCAATCATAAGGCCACTGCTGAGCCTATTGTCCACTAAAAATGCTGATTTGCAGTCAGGGAGTGAAAGAGTGGAACCATCACTACAGAGAACCTCGTACAAGGTAACTCCCTCCTTTATTCTGGTGCCTTTTAAAATGTTGTTTAAAGGGGTTTGCTGCACCTTAAACCCCCGTTTACTAGCATTATAACTGGGTAACTGGGCCCGAATGGCCTTTATCGTATAACAGTAATGGCAAAAATAATAACAACAGCAATGCCAGCATTTGAAGGGAGGGAAGTGGAAAAGAGCAAGATTATCAACCAGGCAGGTTGAGATCCTGGCTGGAGCTGCTATCTCTTATCTGATTCTCCCTGCCCTTCTCCTGCCTTTTGTGTCATGCCACCACAATGCCATTATTGATGCTATGGCCATCTAAGCCCAGGTGACTTAAGTTGTGCTGTTTTCAACATGCGCTCCCCGTTGGTCTACAAGCCTTTCCTTATATCCAGAAACTCCTGGTCTGCAGCCAAGCCAATGATGGAGGCCAGGCCCCCTTTGCTGCTCTGCTTGAGAGTCTGCTGTTCCCCAAGTGGTGTTGTGATCACACCAACAGGACATGTCTGCTGTAAAGGTAAAGGACCCCTGGACAGTTAAGTCCAGTCAAAGGTGACTATGGGGTTGTGGCGCTCATCTCACTTCAGGCCAAGGGAGCTGGTGTTTGTCTGCAGACAGCTTTCCGGGTCATGTGGCCAGCATGACTAAACTGCTTCTGGTGCAATGGGACACTGTGATGAGTGCCAGAGCGCATGGAAACACTGTTTACCTTCATGCCACAGTGATATCTGTTTATCTACTCGCACTGGTGTGCTTTTGAACTGCTAGGTTGGCAGGAACTGGGACAGAGCAACGGGAGCTTACCCTGTTGCATGGATTGGAACTGCCAACCTTCCGATCAGCAAGCCCAAGAGGCTCAGTGGTTTAGACCACAGTGCCACCCGCTCCCACTGTACCTGTACTTACCGACTGCAGCACATGCTGCCTGTCCTAGCAGCTGGAGAGAGGCTGAGGTGGAGAGTTTTTGGTGGGGTCCTCCAGTTGGTCTTGCTTTGCCTTGAAACCTAGCAGTCAACGTTTATTTTTAAATTTTCATTTATTTGTTTTTTTAAAAAGCTTTTGTAAAGTAATAACCTGAACCTCAGCAGCTGCCTCATGCTGTTTCAGTTTAAGTCAGTTTTGTCCACAGGAACTGGTTGGGATTTCTGACCAAAGTCTTTCCCCGGAGATGCTGGGGATTGAATCTGGGAAGACATTGCAAACTCCTCCCTTCTCCATCTGATTTTGAAGGGCTTCTTTCAGGGGCCCTCATGACCCAGTTTTTCAAATGGGGAGGGGGATGCTGCACTCACACATGCTGAGGGACAAAATAAATGCAGAACGGGGTCCTTGGTATGTGCAGGGACATTGTTTTGTTTGCAGTGATGCAGGTGGGTTAAACCACAGAGCCTAGGACTTGCTGATCAGAAGGTCAACGGTTCGAATCCCCGCAACGGGGTGAGCTCCCGTTGCTCGGTCCCTGCTCCTGCCAACCTATCAGTTCGAAAGAACAAAGTGCAAGTAGATAAATAGGTACCACTCCAGCGGGAAGGTAAATGGTGTTTCTGTGTGTTGCTCTGGTTCGCCAGAAGCCACATGACCCGGAAGCTGTCTGTGGACAAATGCCGGCTCCCTCGGCCAATAAAGCGAGATGAGTGCAGCAACCCCAGAGTTGGTCACGACTGGACCTAATGGTCAGGGGTCCCTTTACCTTTACCCTTCATTGTGCATGGATTGGATACTGCTTCAATGGTGCACTAGGACTGCAGCAACAGTAAACAGCATGTCAGAATGCAGAGTTAGGCTAAAGGGAAACAAGCAAACGGGGGTGGGGGTGGGAGCGGGGAGAGAGAGACATTACATATATGGCATGTGTCCTCCAAGCACTATCCCTCTTCACATCCTTTACTTGGCAAAGCAGAACGACACCTTGCAATGTGAAGAGCCATAGGGTTGTTGTTGTTGTTGGGGGGCAGCGGAGAAAGAATTTGCTGTGGAGAATGCCCCCTTACAGTTTAAAGGAGTGGGGGGTGGGGTGGGGGAGAAGAGAACAATCAGCCCCAGCTGCACATCCTCCAGGCCCAATTCGCTGCTCCCCATAGGAAATCCATCGCATGCCATCTGCTCAAGCAAAGGCACTTGAGCATAGAAGACTACTGTGGCTTCCCCAAAGCCATCTCAACGAAGGCAGGTTTCCCAGCCCCAGAAAGAAGATCTGTAGTCAAAGACATAGATAGAGTCTGCTGGAACAGGGACGGGAAGAAGCCCATTTGAACCCACGTTCAAATATCACCCAAGTGCTGTAGCGTGTTGTTTACAAAGGATATGCACCTAAATATGACTCCCAGTGCCCAATCCAGGGTGGGTGCCCTCCTAACGCAACCTGGGGCAGGCCCTTGTCCTCATGCTGCCCGCACAATCCAGAAATTGACAGGATGCCAAAATGGGGTGAGGTGATAGAATTGTAGAGTTGGGAGGGACCACGAGGGTCATCTAGTCCAACCCCTTGCAACGCAGGATCTTTTGCCCAACGTGGGGCTCGAACTCACGACTCTGAAATTAAGAGTCTCATGCTCTTACCGGCTGAGTGCCATGTAGGAAGGTGAGGTGAGCAAACGTCTCTAAGGAGAGATTTCTGCAATCTGGGGTAGGAGGGAGTTTCTTGTTGCTACCAAACACAACTCAGAAATGGATGTGTTGCCCGTTCCAGAAGATCTTAACAATCAGGTCGGTTCATGTAGTAGCAAACAGTCCTTCAGGCACCTTGTCCCACATCATGAATATTTTGCTGCCCATTGTAGTGTATACAATATGTTACTTTCAGATTTCTCTCCTTCACTGCCCCTCCTGTGTTTTAACTTTCTGAATGCTCATGTGTCCTGTCCCCCCCACTTCTCTGGATGTGTCCTGCCAGTAAGAAAAAGAAAAGGATGCATAAAGAATCAGCAGGCACATTAAGAACAAACAATATAATGAAGCAGGGAGCATGGGATAGCTTTTGGCTTAACCAGTATCTGCAGAATCAAGGCAGAGCAAATGTGTATCAAAAATCAGCCACAGTAGGAGGTATCCGTCTCCCAGGTAATGGCTAAATGACAAGCAGATGAGCCGCCATCATATTGATTTAAGCATTTTGTTCCAGCCAGTCACAATTAACTTTGATTTGTTTTTACTTTCCTCTTACAGGTTTGCATTTAAAGCACTCTGAGAGCACTAATTGTATAAAATTTTACTCACTGCACATTCTCTTTCTGAAGAGGCAATGAATGAATGAAGAGGAATTTATTTGAGATTCTAAAGCAGGGGATTCTCAGAGCACTTTTCACTCTGCGTGAAATTGGTACAGAAGGTGAGCGGCAAGGTAGAATGAAATACCTTGGGGAAAGAGGAGAAAAAGGCTAGAGTATCTAAGAGCCGTCCGTCTTCAGGATAAGCACATTGGTCCTTGATCCTGATATCGTTAGCCATGTGCTTAAAGCTGCACTGAAATGAGTGGAACTTATATTATCATCCTTAATCAATTATATAGCACCTAACACTTTCTAAGTACTATAAGACAGCCCTGTCCCTATTACAATCTAATTGAAAGGAAATTATTATTATTTTTTAATTATTATTTTTAAAGCAGAAATAGTTCTTTTAGTGGAACCAGCCCATGAAAAATCACTGCCTCTGTTCTGCAGTGGTGCACAGGGGCAATTACCCCCAGACACAACTTTGTTAAGGAGCACAACATTTCAACACCCAGTGCTGCCTCAATACAGCAGCGCTCTTCTGCCACCGGGCTCTGTTGAAAATAGTTTCTCCATGAGAACCAGGAAGTAACCTATCTAGACAACAGAACAACTCTTTTTCTCTCTGCGACTGTGATCTCCTTGGTGCCATGGAAGCCGTTAGGCAGTTGAATGCACCCTCCCTTCATTTCCCTCCCACCCAACCCCCTTCCGTGCAGCCCCGGGCAACCCACACTATGCCACTGGTGTTCAGTCCTTAATGTGAATTGATAATAGGGGGGTTTAGGGTCTACACACACTAACCCCAGCTAATTAGTACCAGGATCTACAAAATCAGTTACCAGGTGGCTGCTACAGAGCTCTTTCTGGTGACCAGGACACCAGGATATCTCTCAGAAAGTGAGAGATCTTCTCTCTCTCTCTCTCTTTTTTTTTTTAATAATTTTTATTAAAGTTTAAAACAACATAACACAAAAAAAGAACAGAAAAACTCACATAAAAATAATACAAAACTTAACAATAAAAACACAAAACACAACAATTAAAAACAAACTCTCTTTTCCATTTCCAATTTTACGTGACTTATTTTCTAGACTTCCTCAAACCTCCCTCCTTTGTATTCCAGTCCACATTGTTTGTTCAGCAATTTCTTTTCCACTTTTTTAATCCCAATCTTTAATTTAGTAAAATGTTAAAATATATAACTTCAATTTTTTTTAAACCTAGTCCTTGGTCTTAATATCATATAACTTTAAAGTTTTCCCTTTAATATCAAATTTCCATAACTTTAACCTGTGCAGCTGGAAACCACTTGTTTTCAGTCCAACATCACTCTAACATTCCTTAATTTTGCAGTGTTTCTGAAGATAGTCTTTGAATTTCTTCCAGTCTTCCTCCATCGACTCTTCTCCCTGGTCACGGATTCTACCAGTCATTTCAGCCAGTTCCATATAGTCCATAAGTTTCATCTGCCATTCCTCCAGCGTGGAAAGTTCTTGTGTCTTCCAATACTTTGCGATGAGTATTCTTGCTGCTGTTGTTGCATACATAAAGAAAGTTCTATCCTTTTTTAACACCATTTGGCCGACTATACCCAGGAGAAAGGCCTCTGGTTTCTTAGGGAAGGTATACTTAAATACCTTTTTTAATTCATTGTGAGAGATCTTCTCTTCCCCCAAGGTCTCTGTATATGCAGAGATTTAGGAGGGGAAGAGGTAGCTCACTTTATGCTGGATGGAAGAGGAACTCCATGCCTCTCTTGAGGTCTCTGACACACATTAAAGAACTTGTGGAAGGCATGAGCCTAACTTCACACCCAGCCTCGGAAACTCTCAAGAGCACTAAGAATATATCTTGTCGCTACTGAGTATTTCCAAATCCTGGTGTGGTACACAAACTGACTCAGTCCTGGAATCCCTATGCCAGCTGACTTGCAGAAGGAACTGGGCCAGTGGCAACCACAAATAATGCCTATCAGTGTCAGTCAAAAGTTGTGGTCCCCCTGAACTTGTCCCACGGAACTTTGGCATGACTCACATTCTCTGGGATGTAGCAATTCTTTAGGAAATTCATACCAAATGTGTTTGCTTTAGGAATCTTCACATACATTTGCTCCAGTAACTTGTTTTAAAAAAGGGCTTCAGAAATAGCCGTAGGCAAAAATTACTGTCTATGGCAGTGTGAGTTTTCACAGGTGACAGCCAGTTCAGGGTGGATGGAGAAGGCAGTGAGTTGAACGCATGATGTATGGGGGTAACCAGCGAAGTCTCCCCCCCCCCCCGTGTTTCCTTTGCAGGGACCAGCAAGAGTTTTTTTGTTTGTTTTTTTGTAGGGGATTGGTACGCATAACTACTCATTTTTAATATTGTATTTTAAAATTGCTATAACCTGCCCTGGGATATTAATGGTAAGAGAAATAAATAAGTAGAACACAGCAAGTGATAATTGGAGTGCCAAAACCACCACCTTAATGGCTGAAGTACTGGACACAAATCAAACCTATAACTTAAACGTTTGGGAGAGTATCACAGTATGAGTACTAAATAACTGCAGCAACACTAATTATGAAGACAGTACATATTTTTTGCAGTGCTGAAAGCGTACGCCTTAGTCAATTTCTTCCCCAGTGATAGCTTTCTACCAACGTTTTTGTGTCTATATACCGTATTTTTCGCTCTATTGGACGCACCGGACCATAGGACGCACCGGACCATAAGGGGGGGAAAACCAGGAAAAAAATTTTTTTTCTTGTTCTCCCCCTCTAAAACAAGGTGCGTTCTGTGCGTTCAAGGTGCGTTTGCCCGAAGCCCCCGCTGGGCTCTGGAGGCTTTGGGTTCCTTTAGACCTGCTCTCCAAACCAGGTAGGGTTTGGAGGCTGCTATCTGCAAGCCTTGGGAGCCCGGTGGGAACTCCCGCTGAGCTCCCAAGGCTTGTGGATATCTGTCCGAAGCCCGGGGCACGCTGCTCAGCGCTCCCCAGGCTTTGGGATGCAGGCTGCTATCCACAAGCCTTTGGAGCGCAGCGGGCACTCCCGCCATGCTCCGAAGGCTTGCTGATAGCTTCCTGAAGCCTGGAGAGCGAGAGGGGTCGGTGCGCACCAACCCCTCTCACTCTCCAGGCTTCAGCGAAAGCCTGCATTCGCTCCATAGGACGCACACACATTACCCCTTCATTTTTGGAGGGGGGAAAGTGCGTCCTATAGAGTGAAAAATACGGTAAGTAACAGGGAATGATAGGTTAGAACAGCGGAGAAATATATAAAATATAGTAGGGGAGTGGGGAACATTGGTGCTGGTTTGCTTGGTGAATAAATCTCATCTTTTGATTACTGTAATCCCAACCCATTTTTTAAAAGTCAGATATGTTCAACCAATTTCCAATATTTTCCAATTGTGAAAGCTGGGGATTTGATACTCTAAAAAGAAAATAAAACCATGAGATTCCACTGCCCAACAATGTAAACTGAGCCTGCAAGAGACAGCATGGTTGTATTCCTTGATGTGATAACATCCACGTGGATTCCCAAATTTTCTGGCTACAACTTAAAATATAGAGCAGCAAGGTTGTACAGAAGGTGTTGGAAATGGACTCCACAGATTCATAAGACACAGTCTCTTCTGTGTACTTGTTCCGTCTCCCACTGGTTCTTTCCTACTGTTGACATTAACACCCCTTCCTCCATTTATTCCTTTCTATAATGAATTCCCTTTTATAATCTAGGGCCTCCTAGATCCACTTTTATAATACCTCCATCCCCAGTGTTTCCTTTTTGGTGACCGGCAAGAATAGTCTCATTGCATTTATTAATGTTCCATTTAATGTGTCTCTCAGGGCCGTCTTAAACATATCCAGCGCCGTGGTGCAAAGATCCCTCCGGCGCTCTGCCCCCCCACGCTGTTTCCCAGAGTTGTTTACCTTTTCCCAAGCCTCTGCGGGGATCGCTCTCCTCCCGCGGAGGCTTGGGAAGGAACCTGCACGCCCGCCAGCCATATAGTTGGTGGGGCACAGCTTCTATCCTAAGCCTCTGCAGGGATCACTCGCCCCGCGTGGAGGCTTGGGAGGCAAGCTGCACGCCCGCCAGCCATATCGTTGATGGGGTGCAGCTGGCAGGTGTGCAAGGAAAGGGAAGGCTGCTGGCAAAGCCGCACAGCTCCCCCACTTGCTAGGGCGCCCCTGAGAGGCCAGCGCCCTGGCGCAACGCACCACTAAGCCCAATGGGAAAGACGGCTCTGGTGTCTCTATTTCCCCCCCCCACTCTACCTTGCTATACAGATTCCTTCCTAAATTGAAGATGGCATTTCAATAGAGAAAAGCCTGGACCTCAGTAGTGAGGTTGGGAGATGTTTGATTTAAACAGA